GGAGAAAATAAAAATGGCTTTCTTTTTTCTTTTTCTCTCTTTTTTTGTTGCTGAGGATTGAACCCAGGGTCTTACCTATGCTGATCATGCTCTGTCCTAAGCAGTACCCCCAGACCAAAATGATTGTTTTTAATAGGCAGATCACTAGACATCTCTTGTCTGTTGATATGATGCATTATTGTTGAACTGTGTCCCTCACTCTCAGAATTGAAGATGTATTCATCTATGATTAGAATTGTACAGAGCTGTTGAATCTGAGAGGCAAAGTGAAAGTTATAAGGGATTATAGGAAGGATATTGTTGAAATGAAACATCATGGAAATAGAATGGACCAGGGTACAACTGAAGGACAGATAAAGTAGGAACAGAAGAAAGCAAGCAAGCTGACATGATTAGGGTATATATGAGATGGCTATTTTTTTAAATTTATTAATCTAGCCAAGGAAGCAGTGGCTCATGCCTATAAGCCTATCTTCCCAGGAAGCTGAGGTATGAGGATCTTGGTTCAAACCTGGCTCAGGCAGGAAAGTCCATGAAACTCTTTATCTACAGTTAACTCCCCAAAAGCCAGAAATGGAGCTGTGGCTCAAATGGTAGAGTTCTAGCCTTGAGCTAAAAAGCTCAGGGATAGCACCAGACCTTCAGTTTAACCCCAGGACTCATATACAGACACACACAAAATAGTTTGAAATAATTGTACAATACAGAGTAGAGTGTACTTCAACACATATCTATAGTGTATACTGATCGATCAGGTTAATTACCATTTTTATATCCTCTAGACTGCTGGCTGTTTGGAGGTAGAGTTGCAGACTTTTCTACCTATCTTTGAACCACATTCTTCAGATTTTAGCCTCCTGAGTAGATAGCATTACAGAAGGCAGCCATTTATTCTTTCAGAACGCTTGAGCTCTCCTCTCTTCTAGATTTTCATTATATAAAATTTTCACTGTAAAAGGGTTAATATACACTATAGTCTTTGTGTTGTGCAACACTAGACCTTATTCCTTCTAAAAGTATTTTAGAACCTGTTATGCAGCTTTACCCTTTACCCTTCCCACTAGACTTTTTGGCTTCCATAAATCCGAAATCAGCTTGCACAGGCTTATTTTGTTTCTGGCTTATTTCACTTAAAATGCCCTCCAGTTTTATTTGCTGTAAATGACAATATTTGCTTATTACCTTTATGTCTGAATAATATTCCATTGTGTGTATGTGCTACATTTGCTTTACCTGTTTATCCATTGATGAGAACTTGGATTGATTATATATCTTCGCTATTTTTAGTAGTGTCACAGTAAATATAACATGCAGGTGTCTTTGGGCTTATTGGATAACCACCCAGAGGTGTCATATGGTAGATTATTTTTTCATTTGTGTGTGTGTTTGTGCACACATGTGTATGCATGTGTGTGTATATGTTTTTCTCTCTGTAGGTTGTCTCTCTACTCTGTTTGCTTTGCTACAAAGCTTCTTAGTGTGATACAGTTCCATTTATCTATTTTTGCTTTTTGTTTCCTGTGGTGTTTTGGGGTTTGTTTTTTTCTTTTTTTGCTTACGTGGTGCTGAGGAATCGAACCCAGGGCCTCAGGTAGGCAAGGCAAACGCTCTACCATTGAGCCACCTTCCCAGGCCTGGGTTTTGTTTTTTTGCTTTTTTTTTTGTTGGTCATGGGGCCAGATCTCTGGGCCTAGGCATTGTCCCTGAGCTATTCGGCTCAAGGGTAGCACTCTACCACTTGAGCCACAGCACCACTTTTGGGTTTTTCTGCTTATGTGGTGCTGAGGGCCTCATGCATGCAATGCAAGCACTCTACCACTGAGCCACCTTCCCAGCCCCATTTAAAATTTTATAATTAACATTTTTTTGTGTGTATGTGAGTTTCATCAGTGCTTTGTAAATTTTTGTTGTAGAAGTCTTTCACTTCCTTGGTTGGATTTATTCCCAAGTATTTCATATTTTTTATGGCTATTGTGGATTGGGTTGTTTTCATGATGTTTTTCCCAACAAGTTCATAATTGTTATAGTATAAAAATGCTGGTGAGCCGGGCGCCGGTGGCTCAAGCCTGTAATCCTAGCTACTCAGGAAGCGGAGATCTGAGGATCCTGGTTCAAAGCCAGCCCAGGCAGGAAAGTCCGTGAGACTCCAGTAAACCACTAGAAAACCAGAAGTGATGCTATGGCTCAAACGGTAGAGTGCTCGCCTTGAGCTGAAGAGCTGAGGGATAGCACCCAAGCCCAGAGTTCAAGCCCCACAACCTACAAAAACAAAAAAAATGCTGGTGATTTTTGCATTGTTAATTTTGTATCCTGCAACTTTACTGAATCTGTTTATTCCAATAATCTTTTGGTGAAATCTTTTAGACAAGAGGGCAGGTATAACCTGATTATATGACACAGAATGATGACAGAAGATAAAATTAAGAAGGACTGTGAACTAGTTACCAAGGACATCAGTCGTGGATTTAGAGGCTTCAAGATGATAGGGATGAGGGGAGAAGTGTTGCTACATGTTGTGTATTAAATTTGTCTCCATGAAGGCAGAAGAATGAAATTTGGTGTGTGGTCAATAGTTTCTACGAAAGTGACCAAACTCCTTTGGGAGGGATAACTGGGAACTTCCACTCGAAGGTAGGGCCAAACTTCAGAATAGCACAAAGGATTGAGGAAACATTTTCTGAAAAAGCTCAAGATGCAGAGAGATTAGCTCTGGTGTAGTGGACATCATCCTAGGACACAGTAGGATCAGTTGAGGAGGATGGATAGGAAGTGAGGGAATCACAGATCGGGATTAGAATAGGAGTACAAAAGACAGATAACTAGAGAGATCTGAATTTTGTATAATAGGAATGACAGAGAAATTAGTTGGCCTCAAAATTTAAATGGATCTGTTGTTTACTACCTTCTTACTTGAGTTTTTGTAGTAGTGGGTCCACCAGGAGGGAGACTAACAAAGATGGTGAGACTGGTTTATTGTGTTACTAAACCATTGTATTGAACATCCATCCACATTTGTGTTTTCTGTACATGTAATAACCACACTTTACCTTATCTTCATGTAAGCCACTGATGAGATTCTTGAGTGGAGAAGGATTATTAACAGAATAGTAATGTTCCTGGAGAGATTTTCCTTAAGCTTGGCCTTTTTCTCTTAACACTTGGAGAAATGGTCATATAATCAGTTAATGTCTGCTTATTCTAGTTTCAAGTTCTTTTTATATGATAGAAAAATTTCTTTTAATCAGTTCATATTTCAGTTAATACACTTGCATACCACCCATCATATTTATTTACAAGATCATAAGCTAAATCTAGCTTCTACATACAAGGGAAAACTTACGTGTTCTTTGTCTCAACGCCAGCCTGACTTCACATAACATAATTTTATAGAGGTCTTTCCATTTTGTTATAAAGACAGAGTTCTTGAATACTTTCTACCCATCTATTAATCCTCAGAAAATGAGATTGATTTAATACAATTTATTCATAATGAGCTTTTTCAAGTTTCTTTCCTTGATGATCTTTTAATTGATTTCTTATAAGTCAGAGGTTTTTTTTGTTGTTGTTGTTGTTTTTTGTTAGTTGTGGGGCTTGAATTCTGGGCCCCGGGCACTGTCTCTCAGTTCTTCAGCTCAAGGCTAGTGCCCACTGCTTGATCCACAGCGCCACTTCCAGTTTTCTGAGTGGTTCATTGGAGATAAGAGTCTCATGGACTTTCCTGCCCGGGCTGGCTTTGAACTGCAATCCTCAGATCTCAGCCTCCTGAGTAGCTAGGATTACAGGTATGAGCCACTGGTGCCCAGCTAAGTCATAGGTTTTTATCGGTGAATAAATACCAAATTTTTTACTTTTTAAAAATCGGGGCAGCATTTGCCCAACGTGGTCTTTCCTAATCTCTCAGGCTTCCTCTATCAAAACTGGTTCTGAGATCACACCTGAATAGGTAGAATTTATTTGGTTTCTTGAGTTATAATTCTTTTTATCTTGGTGATGCAAATTCACTCATAAAAGACAACTTTCTTAAGTACTTTAGTTCCTTGAGAAGGATAATAATTCATCCTCTCAGATAACAAGTATAGTCTTTGTCATATTGATGGTATTGCCTCTTTACCCCTTTTGGCCCCTTGCCTGCTTGTTTTTGGCAAACTTTGAAGAAAATCTTAAATTGTGGTTAATTTTGATGTTTAAAAAAATTATTTTTCACTGCTAGAGAATCAAACGAACCCAGGGCCTTCTAGGTTTTTAGTTGTTGTCGTTATTTTCATTTTTTTGGTGCCAGAAATGGGACTTGAACTTAGGGGGCTGAGTGTTGCCACGGAGATTTTTTTGCTAAAGGCTGGTGTTAGATCCACCACTTGACCCACAACTCACTTCTGGCTTTTTGGTAGTTATTTGAGATTAGAGCCTCAGACTTTCCTGCTGGGGCTGGCTTGGAACCTCTATCATCAGATCTCAGCCTCCTGAGTAGGATTACAGATGGGAGCCACCAGAGCCCACTCTTATGCATTTTAAAATCAATATACTTAAGCTTTCTTTGTAGTCAGGACTAGTTAGCAAAAATCTTGGAGTATAACGTTTTTCAGATTTTGGGGAGCAGTCCTTTGCATTCCAAACCTACAAATTAATTCTTATCTAGGAACAAATTTCTCTAGTTCATTTGCTTTTGGCCAATATCAGGAGTTGCTGAAAGTGTTTGAAGTGCCTAGTTCGTGACACTTAATGTTAATGTGTAACAACATTTGAATACTTATCAGCTTAATTAGGCTTAACTACATTATCTGACTTACATCTTGGGACACCTCTATGAGGTAAGAGATACAATTTTTATCCTCAAGGCCTTGAAGTTCATTGATGAAGAAGTAGGATACAAACCTTAGACTTGTAGGAAAATTTTAATAGGTAAATATTTAGGATGCAAGATTTTTTTTAACGCTTTCTTTGGTCTTTGGAGAACAAATGTTTATAACATTGAAGTATATAAAATATTTTTAATATTGCAGATCTAGAAATGGCCATTGCATACTGGAACTTAGTGCTTAATGGAAGATTTAAATTCTTAGACTTATGGAATAAATTTTTGTTGGTAAGTTCACCTTTTCTGTAGTTTCATACGTTTTCTCTAAGATTATGTTGTGTTTAAAGATAAAACAACATTTTCAAGCTTGATAAACTATCAGAACATCTGATATACAATGAGAAATTTGATTACTAGAATTCCAATCAGTTGTTTGCATTCTTGGATTTAGCATTGTCTGGTCTATATTTTTTGCAGTTGTTTTAGGTTATTTAAATGTGTTCTTATTTCTTAAATAGGAACATCATAAACGATCAATACCAAAAGATACTTGGAACCTTCTTTTAGACTTCAGTACAATGATTGCCGATGACATGTCTAATTATGATGAAGAAGGTAATGAAATTTTTTCCCCCACCATTTTTTTTTGTAACCTGCCTTGCTATATCTTTTATCCACACTCTTGAATTTTCTATCTACTTCTATTTTCTTTGAGGTTGTACTTTTTGTTGTTGTTGTTGGTCATGGGGCCTGAACTCTAGGCCTGGGTGCCGTCCCCCAGCTCTTCAGCTCAAGGCTAGCGCCCTATCATTAGAGCCATAGTGCCACTTCTAGCTTTTTTCTGCTTATGTGGGGCTGAGGAATCAAACCCAGGGCCTCATGCATGCGAGAGAAGCACTCTACCACTGAGCCACCTTCCCAGCGCTGGAGTTATACTTTCTTATCCTGAACTTTTATTTGTGTTACTTGTTAGTTTCTTACTCTTTTTCTCTCTTTTGGGGAAATATTGGGCTTAAACACGGAACCTTATGCATGCTAACCACATGCCTCTATACTCTTCAGGTTTTATAAAATACCTTTATCGTTAGCAATATATTTCTATTCCTTTCAGTTCCGTCCTATGGGGTACATGTTGCTTAGAAGTAGGGTGCTTATCTAGCATGGCAACACCCTGGTTTTCATTCTTAGCACTGGAGGGGGAAAAATTCCAGGCAGTATCGTTTCATTAAAGTACAAATAATTGTGTTGATATTTTCAGTTTTCCTTTAAGAATGCATTTTCTTAAGTATTTACTTGTGTGTATTTTCAGTTTTTTGTTAGTCTTATATGTAAGCTTGATTGTAAACTCTGTAAGTCCACTGACTGTCTAATTTGAAATGCATTTCTGCTACCTGGTGTGATACCATTGAAATTCAGTAAATCATCAACTAAATTCTGTTTCTTCATATATGCACAAAAACGATTCTCCATCCATTACTATCAGCACATGCACTTTTGTGGCTCTTGAAGTTGCGGTGATTTATATTGACTTCCTCTGTAGTGCCTTGGAGAACTGACAGGATGACTTTTTGAGATTATTAAATATGGAAATATTCTTTGAAAAATCTTTTATGGCCTTCAGTCCTAGAACCATTTAGGCTGGCCAGAGATGATAGTTTTCCTTCTTCATTGTTGTGTACATATAGTCTTTACTAAAATGTGACAAAAATGTTGAATCCTTCCTGTGACTAATAATTGTATTTTCTGTTAGGATAGAGGGTTTACATTATTGGGCAGTATTAGGGTTTGAATTGAGGGCCTCATGCCCATTAGCCAAATGCTTTACTGATTGAGCATACTCCCAAGCCCTCTGTTAGGTTTTTATATAAAGCTAGAAAACTTCCTAGCTTGTGTAATAGAGGTTTGGGGATAGGCATGTAGGTATATACAGACATGTATATACAGACTCACTTTAAAATCTTCTAGTAATTATCATGAAGTAGGATAGAGTTTGACACTATCATTTTTAAGAGCATCTTGTTTCTTCCTGCAACAGTGGCAGTGTGCCATCATGTCTTGGTTGTCCCTTAGGCTACCAGTTTATATTCTTTGGCACTACTGAGATTTGAACTCTAGGACTAGTGCTTGCTAGATAGGTGCTCTACTATGTGAGCCATGCCTGTAGCCCTGCTGCCAGTTTTGACCAAATCATATTTCCATTGCCTATCATTGGTTACTTTCAGAAAACTATAGTACTGTATTGATTGATTACCAGGAGTTATTTTCATCATTCAAGTAATATGAATACATAACATATTTGGTGTAGAAACTATCAATACTGAGTTTTGAAAGACTTCTCATTGGGAATAGGTAAGAATGATATCTGAAGAAATTGGGCACTGGTGGCTCATGCCTGTTGTAATCCTATTACTCAGGAGGCTGAGATCTAAGAATCATGGTTCAAAGCCAGCCCTGGCTGGCTAATTAATCACAGAAAAGACTTGAAGTGGAGCCATGTCTCAAGTGGAAGAGTGCTAACCTTGAGCAAAATGAGCTCAGGGCCAGTGCCCAGGCCCAGAGTTCAAGCCCTAGAAATGGCAAAAAAAAAAAAAGAAAAAGAAAAAAAGAAAAAAGAATGATATCTGAGGAAGGAATTTGTAAAAGCCCCAAACAACTCTATTAAAAGACTAGCCCTATCTCTACTTTTTTTCTTCCATTTTTCCCACATTTTTTTCTTTGTTCCAGGAGCATGGCCTGTTCTTATTGATGACTTTGTGGAATTTGCACGCCCTCAAATTGCTGGGACAAAAAGTACAACAGTGTAGCACTAAAGGAACCTTCTAGAATGTACATAGTCTGTACAATAAATACAACGGAAAATTGCACAGTCAATTTCTGCTGGCTGGACTGAACTGAAGATCAATCCTCATATTCAAACTGAGGGTTGAGACAAATCTTTAAGGATACATCTTGGACCATATCGTATTTCATTCTCCTAATGGTGGTTTGGGCTTGTCTTCTAGTCTGGGCCGCTCTAAACATTTATAATTCCAACATTGTGGATTTCATCTTATATCTGTGGACCATCCTAGTTTGTTTTCCCATAAGTCTTAGAAGCTTTATGGTGATTATTTTGAGGTTTCCATTCTTGCATAAAGCACAATGCTGTCTTCATCAGAAAAGTTTGGCATAAGAATTAAACATAATGAACATCACAAACAATTTATAAAAACTTCTTAAATATATGCTTTGGGCTAGTTGCAAAGACTATGCTGATAGCACTTCCAGTGAGAGTGATATATTTAAGTGTACTGAATCTGGAATGGTGTTTTTGTTTGGGGGGGGGGGGGGATTTAATTTTTTCCTGGCAAATCACATGTATCATTGATATGAGTAGACTATCTGATGAAAGAAATGTCAAAACGAGAAAATTTTTTAGGATACTTGGTGCCTATCCAAAAGATGTATTGTGTTTTAGACTCTTGATTCCGAAAAGGTTCCACAGAACTAGTCTGCACTTACCTTTACCTAGGTGGTCCTACAGGGAGCTTTTATTTAGAAAACATCTGCATAATGCTAGATCACACTCTGGTCTACATTATGCACTATGTAATTGGATTTCATTATGCTTTTGAAATACTATATGCCTATCAGATACGTTAAACTATTTAATTTGTTTTGAATGTTTTGGATTGCTCCACAATACAATGTTCTAAATTTAGGCATGAGGGTTTATTTTTTGCTTTTTCCTTCTTTTTGGTCATCGCACTATGGAATACAAATGAAATTCTCTTAATTTATAAAAAGATAGTAGGAATTAAATTTTGGAAATGGTTGTGATGAGCCATGAAGTTCAATCTTTATAATATAGGTACTGCTCTTTCAGACAAGTAGTCCATTTTTGATGACTTGTTATTTTGTTGAAATTGCTTTAACTTCTAAATCACTGTGGTTGCCAAATATTTAAAAACTTCAAGAGCAAAGATTTTCAACCATCCATATACTTTATGCAGAATACCAATCTGGCTTTTATTTTTGTAAATTATTTAATCTTTTTTTTTCTTTCAAATTAGCTCAGTTTTCACATTAAAGCAGTATGCTCTCTTGTATTTATTTTGCTCGTTACAAGGCCCATGCACTGCTTTCCTGCTGAAAACACCCATTTGTGTTTACCTACATGTGAAGGCTTTAATTACTTTCTTAAATGTTTTGATAAGGCAAGTTAAAGATGATGAGCTTAAATTTTAGATGACCATGGCCATTATAGTAGAAAAAGATTTTCCTTGGTGTATCTTGGTACTGACAGTCTAGTATTGATATTAACAAAAGATGTACTTCAGAGTAGCAGTGCATTTTATACAAGAATATGTGTTTAAGAAACAATGACATACTAAAACTTGGATTTACTGATTTGAAATTGATAAGAAGTCTCATCCGCCTAGATATTATGTTAATATTCCAATTATAACTTCAAGGATACAGTTCTACCAAGAGAAAAATTTGAAAATTTTATTTGGTGAAAAGAATTATTAGAAAAAGCAAAAAAGAAGAATCCTGCTGTTTTCTTGATTTCATTGTAACTATGAAGAGGAACTTCAATTATGAAAAAAAATTCAAGAGATATTTTACTGTATTGTTTCCTGTCTTGAAGATTTTGAATTATGATATTGTTTTCAGATTATTCAAGTATGCTGTGTTTGAAATGAGATTTCATTAACTTTTTTTCGACAATATAATTTTTTTCCATAAAAATTGGATATTGGTTGTGTGGCCTAGTGCCTTGAGTTTTACAAATATTTCCTTTTAAATGCAAGACCTTTTCAACAAAATAGTGTTTGTCATCAGTATGGTACTAAACATTTATAATTACTGTGTAATTATAAACAAAAATACATAAAGCTTTGAATATAATTATGTAGCATAAAAGTTAAGGTTGTTCACTATGATGGCATCTTAGAATTAAAACTATTACTAGGGCTGAAAAGAGAAAACTGATTTAATATGGTGTGATTATTCTGAGGATAAATGGTTATAGATAATGTTTTGTACTGAAAAAAGCTTACACATGATTCTGTGTGTGTGTGTGTGTGTGCGTGTGCGTGCATGCGCGCATGTGTGCGCGTCTAAGAGAAAGACACACACTCGACTTGAATGCTTTAATTCACAAGCATTTCAGTCTTCATTCTGGTCAACTTCCCATGCTGATCTCTGTTTCAAACTGAACCACAGGTACAGTTTCCTTTTTTGCCAAATGTCAGAACAAGTACCCATTTTAAAATGTAATGCTTTTTAAATAGTAAAATGTATAAAATTAGAAGTACCCACATATAAAAATATTTGAGATCAAGGTTATCTTTAGTGAATATCACCTGCATATATCTGTAAGTTCAACTGTGTTTCTTAAAATCCCTGTCATATTACCAACAGAGGCAATAAAAGCTTCAGTGAAATTGCCATGATCTTTTACATATTATTTCAGTGTATTAGTTTTATAAAAACTAAAGCCTACCTGAAAACTTTCCCAGGAAGAATTAAGTACTCATGGAAAGAGTTTTGTAAGATTTTGGGGAGAAAAGATCTGCCAAATCCTGTTTACTACATTTGAAATGTTTACAACTATACTGGGCTGCTTTACTTAATTAACACCACTGTAGTTGTGTAATATGGCATTGTAAGTATATGTCCTTATTAGACTTTTAAAAAGACAAAGTAAATTAACAAACATGGGAAATATTTTAAATATCTTTTCTGGAGAATTCTTATTTATGGAAGGTATACTATTTTCCTCAAAGATTGAAGTGAAGTGTTATTTATTTTTTATTTTATGATAATCAAGAAATTTGAGTAGTTATAGCTAGTTTAATGTACACTCTGCTTAGATTCTTATACATGTTACTATTAAGATCACAGATTGTAAACTTGTAATTTTTACATATGAATGACAGAAGAACATTAGACAACATTTTAGAATAAAAAGGACAGTGGTGCTGGGGAAATTCATTATGGTTCACGAAGTATGCCTTTGTAAAATTGGATCACCACTTAACAAGAATTAATTTATGTAGTTATAAATGTTGAACTGTGTATACTTAATAGGAACTACCTTGGCACCTCAACAGTTTTCTTTAAATGTTACCTTATACTTTTAATAATACGATTTATATTGAATACTTAGATGTTTTGATAAAATTTTATCAAATTTGATAATGTAATGTTTTCAAATGTGAATTATTTAACATATCTTAAGAGGACACAAAACGTGAATTGTGATTTCTATATAATGTGACAAATAGGGTTCAAATTATAGCTCATCATTTAATTGATTATAAACTTGAGTATATTTCTGAACTCTTTATTGCCTCCATTTTTGCAATCATAGCAGTAATTTTTATTTCATAGGTAGGTAGTTAAGGGCATTTGCCCTGACACTTTTAGCTTTGATTCTTAGGGTCAAAGGGGGGAAAAGTTTTTTAGTTAATTGTGAGAATTCCTGATAGTACCAATGTCTTTTTCCAGGGTTATCCTTACCTTTTGCTTTTTTGGTTGAATATGTGCTTTATTTTTATACCTGATTTTGGAGGCAGAAATATTCTTTAAACTTATAAAAACAAGTGTTTTTTTGTACTGCCTGTGACCAATTCATTTATGTGACAATTTTTTATTACTCCCAGTGGAAAGTTAATGTGGCTTTTGACTTGTTTCATTCATTTTTTCTTTTCTAAAAACATTGTCATAAGGAAATTATGATAAAAGATGCACAGCATTTGTAGCAAATGGGATTTCTAACAAGGTATATCTGTGGAGTTTTAAATGAAAATTAAAGGGAATCATTTTGTAGTTACTCCTTTTTAAATAGAAATTTGAAAATATTTTTAATTTATGTGTATCTAAAAGATTTACTCTCTTACAAGTATTGCTTATTTTATCTATTGTAGGTTAGTAGTGTTTCATATAAAACTTGATTTGGGTTGTTTTGGTTTTCTTTTGGTTCTGTGGGGGTGTAGGGTGGACAGGCAATGATGTATTTTGCTATGTATCTCTGATGACAGGCTTGTGATCTGCCTACCTTGTACCTCCTGTGTGCTGAGATTATAGGTGTGTACCACAGTGCTCAACTTGGTTGTTGTTTTTTTGTTTGTTTTTGTTTTGTTGTTCCAGTCCTGGGGCTTGAACTCAGGACCTGGATGCTGTCCCTGAGCTTTTTGTGCAAGGCTAGTGTTCTACCACTTAGGCTACAGCTTCACTTCCATCTTTTTGGTGGTTAATTGGGGATAAGAGGACTCTTCAAACCAGTCTTCAGATCTCAGCCTCTTGAGTAGCTGGGATTACAAATGTAAGCCACCAGTCCCTGGCTGTTATTTTTATTTTCTATTTTTTGTGCCAGTCCTGAGACTTGAATTTGGGGCCTGGGCACTGCTCCTGAACTTTTGTTCTCAGTGCTTGTGCTCTGCCACTCGAGCCACAGTTCCACTTCTGGGTTTTTGGTTAATTGGAGATAGTGTCATGGACTTTCCTGCTTACGCTGTGTTTGATCTCAGCCTCCCTAAGTAGCCAAGATTACAAGTGTAAGGCACTGGCAGTGGGCTTGATTTTTTTTTTTTTTAATAATTAAGAAAAAAAAGTAGGTAATGGCTGAGGGAACATCACCTCTCTGGAAAATCAGTGTACTAGAAATATGATACCTGATATTAAAATTAGCTTTGAAAAGAACATCTAAAGAAGAGAAGAATTTTGAACCAAAGCAGTGAAAATAAGCCATAATTTGAAACGGTGGCATGTTTGAACCATCTAGAGCCTCATGTGAGTGGCCTAATGAGCAAGTAAAGCGAGGGGGGCAAATGCCTGTACACTGAGAAAGTATACACCAAACCCATGTGACAGGTTAATGCTAAAAGTTTTATTTCAGATTATGAAGTATTCTGAGAAGACACTGCGTCTAGTGGTAAATCTGGGAATAGTAAATAAGGTTTACAACAAAAATGTTTTAGGGCATAAGCAATCAGATGACCAAGAGGCAGTACTGATGTCACAGTGGTTCAGCACAGATTTATTTAGAAGCTTTCACAGAGAGCGTGTTTCGTTTCCAAGAAAATGCTAATGCTGCCAGCCCCACTAGTGTTGACTGCTTCAGTACTGAAATGATAGGAATGAATGGGCTTTTATTCCTAAGATTGTTTTGGGGGAGGGGGGCAGCGGGGGAGGTGTTGGCATAGGTCCTGGTACTTGAACTCAGGACCTGGGTACCGTCCCTGAGCTGCTCTTTGCTCAAGTCTAGTTCTCCACTTGAGCCAAAATGCCACTTCTGGCTTTTTCTGAGAAGTTTATTAGAGATATGACTGTCACAGACTTTCTTGCTGGCTTCGAATCATGATCCTCAGATCTTAGCATTCCAGTAGCTAGGATTGCAGACATGAACCACTAGTGCCTGGCAATTCCTAAGACTTTATTACAATATTAAAACAACCACCAAAACACAGCTTTGGTGCTGGGGATGTAGCTCAATGATGGAGCTTGTGTTAGGTTAAACAAGTCCCTGGGTTCAGTCCTCAGCACCAACCCCAGCTCCTTTTAAGTATAATCTATGCACCCTAAAATTCAGCTACTAGCAATGTGCATTTCAAGTTTTAGCAAATTCATAGAATATTTTTTTAAATCATCCAGTTTTAGAACACTTTCATCAGACAAGAAAGTTCCCTTTATTTCTCTGCAGTTCACTTTTTTTTTGGGGGGGGGGGGGGGTCCGGTCATGGGGCCTGAACTCTGAGCCTGGGCGCTGTCCCTCAGCTCTTCAGCTCAAAGCTAGCGCTCTACCAGTTAAGCCACAGCGCCACTTCCGGCTTTTTTCTTCTTTTTGCTTATGTGGTGCTGGGAAATCGAATCCAGGACCTCATGCATGCAAGACAAGGGCTCTACCACTGAGCCACCTTCCCAGCCCCTTCACTTTTTTAAAAAATTAATTGTTGCAAAGGTGATGTACAGAGGAGTTACAGTTCATCAGGTAATGAGTACATTTTCCACAGTTCACTTTTGCTCCTTTGCCCAGCCTCGGGCACTCACTGGTAAGTCTTTCTGCATAAATCTTAACTATAAATTCCACCACACAATTTGTAGTGTTCCACGTTGTTCCCTGCTGTGTAACGTTTTATCTAGGTAATACCACTGTGTTCCATTATCGCTTCATTCCATTATGAACAATGACAGCATCAATGTTCACATACATGTCTGTGAAGATACTTTATCTCTTGCACATATTGCCAGTACAGAATTATTGGGTTGTGTAGCAAATTTAATTTTTTTTAAAACAAACGTTTCCAAAATTGCTGTACCATTTAGACACATTCCTACTATAGCACAGAATGGTTTTTTCTCACGCCAGGGACAGGATTTTATTACTTCTCTTCTGGTGACCTACTATACCAGTTTATACCATGCTGTCTTAACCTATATACATGAGGGATGTACAATTTGGGTGAGTTTCAGATGGGGATTGCTGTAACTTAAGGTAAAGTATATGGACACCTACTTCCTTCAAGGTGGTATTTTTATTAGGTAGTTATTAGGTAGTTATTCCAAGAACCCTCAGTGGTCTTGGAGGAGATGCAAAGTTTGGAGTGTCACTGGTGGCTGGTGCTCTGACCACTACTGTACACTACTGTGTGTTTTACAGATGTCCACCTAGTCAGTGGCTGGGGTCATTAACACTGCACTGATGATTACAATCTCCCTGTTTTCCACATCTTCCACTTCTGAGATAACTTTGGGAATGGAGTATCCTTAAAAAGTTTATTCACTTGTAGCTATCAATATTCTTATACAGGTATGGCCCAAACAACCTTCAGTGATTGCTTAAAAACCATTATAAAAAGCTGGGTACTGGTGGTTCACACCTGTGATCCTAGCTACTAAGGAAGCTGCGATCTGAGGATTGCAGTTTGAAGCCAGCCTGGGCAGAAAAGTCCCTGTGAGACCGATCTCCAATTAATCATGGGAAAAGCCAGAAGTGGTGCTGTGACAAGTGGTAGAGCACTAGCTTTTAGTACAAAGAGCGTAGGAACAGTGCCCTGGCCAAGTTCAAGCCCCACAATTGACAACAAAACAAAAAAACTAATTGCATGTATTCATACAGTGGGGTGGTTTAAAAAAATTTAATAGGAAGTGGCACTGTGGCTCAAGTGGTAGAGTGCTTGCCTTGAGCTGAAGAGCTGAGGGATAGCACCCAAGCCTAGAGTTCAAGCCCCATAACTGACAAAAAAATTTTTGGACATAAACAATTAGTATAATGAACCAATATCAGCATGCTTCGCATGGCTGGAATTATCTATATGCCATCCCTCTTTTGGACCTTATTTTGAAGCAAGTCTCAACAGATCATTTAATTTGTAAGTATTATAATGATTTTTAAATATAACCATAATTCTTGTTTTTCTATGTAAATACAGTTTCTTAGTGTTAGT